CATTCAGGGATGTGGGCATGCTTCTCGGTAGCGTGGTTCTGTGTTGCTGGTGCCTTTTACTGCAACACCACAACCCTAAATCGTGGAAATCCCGGACAGCTGGCTCCTTTTTAGGATGGCTTGCTTTCGTTTCAGTCCCGAAAGAAGGCAGATGGCGACTGTGCTTCCGAGACGCAGAACGCTCGTACTATAGCCAGTTGCATCGTGTGTTGACCTTCCAAAGACGGCAGCATGGGAGCTACGTCTTCGGAGCCAAAGACAAGAGGAAGCGAGGGCTGTAGCACGAGAGGTTACACGAAGATTCAGAAGTAGCAACGAGCGAATGCCAACAAATGCGGAAGGCGGCGAACACACAACTAGCGGCGCAGCTAGCAGCATATAGCTAAGTCTAGCCGTGTGCAGAATCTGTTGCTGTTTCTTCTGGGTGTTTACGTATTCTCCCCTTTGAGCAGGTTCTGCAGGTTACTTAGTAGTGGCAAGAAACAGACAGCAGAGTGGAGCAGTACAGGGTGAATGGTGTGCGCGTGCGCTTCTGCTGGGGGAGTTGCTGGCTCGTCGTAGGGAGCCATAGCATTGAAATCCAACGCAGCAAAAGCGCGAAGGGTCAGCGGAGGAAGCGGCTGCTGTATGCTGCTCGGAATTGATCCAACATCGGTAGTGGAAGAATAACTCCCCCTAGACTTGGGACGTATCTTTCGGGAAGTGATAAGAGTAACAGCAGCAGGCGAAACTTCAAGGAGGAGACCGTCGAAGTAAAGAAAGAACCATTTTACCAAATCGTGAACAACGGTGCTTTGCGTCCGCTCCTCATTTCACGATGCTGCGCCACTCGCCTATCACTTGCTTCAACTCGTATGCCTAAGGTGGTTCTTTCTTCACTTCGGCGCTCTCCTCCTTGAACGTTCGCTAGCTGCTGTTACTCTTGTCACCTCGAAACATTTTACCTGTTCCTTCTCCTCCTGCTCTTCAGGATATGTGCAGGAGTTGCTGCGGATTCGTGTTCTGGTTGCAGCAGCCCCCGCTTCCTAGCGCGTCGGCTGTCTGGTGAGCAAAGAAAGAGAAGCGGCTGCATTGTGGTGCGCTTGGGCAGCATGGTTCCCCTACTACTGCATTGGCGGCTGCTGCCTGCGTCGTATACGTCACCTAGGGGACGTTGATTAACCGTCCTCGGGGCTTCTATGCACAATGGTGGACTGGTGTCTAACCTGTGAAGGCAGCAGGAATGCCAAGTATTCCCTGAACTTGAAGGGCCTGGAAAACCAACAACAACGGAAGCAGCAGCGAGACAATCTGCATAAGTAGGGTTTGTGTATCACACCGGGACTCCCAGATACTGTCTGAGTACAAATACGGAATGTCTTACCTTTGATCATCCACAAGCTGCAAACCCGGTCGACAAAAGCATTTCTTTTTTTACCTGCTCTTGAGCTAGCAACTTCGTGAATAGGCTGTCCACTCTATATTTTGTCGATGGTTGGCCCCGTGTGTGCCCGAATTCTCTCTTCGTTCCTGCATTCTGTTTATATGTCTCCACTTTGGGGTGCTGGAGTTACCTTCCAGTCTATCCCCCTTGACTGTTGAAGACGCCCCTATTCATTTCCGTTGTACTGCGTCTCTGCTTTTGTTTGGTTGTCTAATGAGTGGCAATTTCGGGTTTGACGTTGGCCTGCGAGTAATATATCTCTATGCCAGCTCCTCCCCGCCTGCTTGCATGCGCTTCTCCAGGCGCCTCTGTCGTAATTCGGCTTTTCCCTTATTCGTGGAAGGTGAATTTCCGTTGACTTCGACACGGTTATGGATGCACTATGACGGGTATCCCCACATGAGATAGTATCTCGCGAACTTGCTGGGTTTGGCAACTGTTCGTCGTTTTTTACTGTTCGCAAGATCGTGCCTCGCCCCAATTGGATACGTCCCAGCGAATTGGCAAAGCGCGAGACATGAATGCGGAAGCGCCATTAAAACGGCGACAAGCAGACACACCTTCGAAAACAAGTAGCACAAGCAAGGGGAAGCCATGCTTCGAGGAGGTCTTCCAGGCACGTAAACAGAGCGGCCAGGGTTAAACTCGGCCCCTACCCCCCAATTCAAATGCTGTGCGTTGTGAGGGACGAACGAGGCGACAACCCCACCCTCCGATCCCCCTCCAGTTACCTTTAAGCGCAGGGACGTTTGTACTAGTGGATAGGCCTTGCTAGACCCATTCCACAGCGGGCGAATTTGATGTGGTAACTGAAGGTACGGCGCAAAGATACAGCATTGCTGCTTACTTTTTGGGCCTATCTCTGCAGCATTACTCCGCGCATCGTGCAACACACACTCGAATACCGAAGCCTACAGATGTATTAATTCAGAATTTTGTCATAGTAGCATGAGGAGGGGCTCTTGTATTGGACCAGCTCATCACGATGTAATCCTTGGCACGCCTTGGGTGATAGACTTGTGTGTGTACACGAGCGTTGCCAACAACGCCATTGGAGCATCCGTGCCAAGAAGAGAGCAGTGAGTCTACCACTCAGAGTTTCCATTGGTATTTGCACCATCTGCGCTTATAATGAAAGGAAACAGCGTCATCACTAACGGCGATCGGAAGTTCGCTAGCGGTTGCTGCAGCGAAACCCTTTGTCCGGATAGCATCGACAACAACATGACCACAGCAAACCAGTTGGGTGCAGACGGCCACACCGAACGCACCAACTACAACTGTTCCACAGTTTGAAAGTATATACCCATAAAATTTCGTCGATTGTATGGAATCGGTCTTCTTTATACAGTAGAACACTCTTCAACCCGGTGCATTATGGAAACTCTTGTCTTCCCCAAACCACTACTACCCGATTAGGCGTTTAGCCCACGCTTGCAGGAGCCAGAGCCGAACGTCTGCAGCCTGAGACTTCCCCACGCACCAGTCAGTAGCACTGGAGCATATGAGGAAAGCACAGGAACGCTAGGATATCCGATTCGACAAATATCGTTCAGCAGTTAAACTGAAGTCTTGTGGGTTACAAGTAACTGCTGGTAACTTCATACGCCATCCGAATAGCACAGAAGGGCGCAACGTCAATGGCATTTTGAGGGGCATTTGCAATACGTTAGGTCTCGTCAACATTTGCACTCCACCGTAGCTTTGTCAGCAGTATTGCAGGCGTCGGAGTAAACACTGAAGCTTAAGATTGGAACTCGCTTACGGGCCTGCTCTGTCATTTATTCCATTGCAGTGACCAAGTTTCCCTAATCTAACAGACCAGAACTGTTTAGTAGCGAACGTGGCTGAAGTTAATACATATGTTCTTCTCGAACGTTCCCAAACACTAACGTCTAGCAAGACCACTATAAAATGGGCTTGATAAGATATACTCGTCGAGACCCCTTCGAAAGCTTTAAGGATCTGCATGTGTGTGTGTGTGTGTTTGAGAGTGTTCCCCTACATTCTGTGCTGACATTCTGAAATCAGAAAAATGTATCCCTCGGCTGTACGATGCATCCTATTCACTTGTCCACTGTTGTCTTGCCTCCTCCATGGCCTGCTATAGCTTTGCCGTATATTGTGCCCGAAACGTAGGTACGATTTGAAGCTGGAAACGTACAGTCGAGGAAGTTCACGCTTTGTCTAGTTGTAGGAGTGTTCCCGGTATATGCTGTAGTGCTTCGATCGTCGCTTACTGCTGAACTGAGTTTTCTGACAACATGAGCATTGTGACAACTGTGATCGCATGACTATATAAGGAGTAGCGAGGGGGCAATCCTGGAGGGACTCGGTAATCATCAAACGCATATGCAGTTGTCGAACGCACTGCCTGATGCACAAGACATCGGGAGTTCTGCGTATGCGACCACTATTGTGGTGTCACAGATATACTTCACCGTGGCGTCCTACGAGAAAAGCCAAAAACGATACCTTTTCTCATTATCGTTGGCTTTCTCCTTTCACCGTGGCGTCCCACGAGAAAGGCCGGAAAAGATACCTTTTCTCATTATCGTTGACTTTCTCCTCATCACGCTCGTCAGTGAGTGATAACCAATTCGAACAGCTCAATGTCTGCCAACTTACATACTGCACCAGACCGCCTAGAACACTTTCTTGCGCACTAGGTACAGGTTTGTGCTCTGGTATGAGTTGATGGTTATATACGGATTGCGTGTGGGCTGGATGTGCTGGCAAAAAGGGCAAGTGGAGCTGCGGAAGCACAGTGCGAAACGGAGGAACTTCTGCACGCCCCGTCGGTGTGTACATGCGCGATGTCGTGGTACACTCCCCTGGTCCTCTATAGGCGTAGCCTGTCAAGATAAGGAAAATAATGTTTTATTAGTTCGCAGACCTCTTACTGGTAGCATCTTTGCAACAAGATGGCTTGCAGCGGAGTATGCTGATTTTAGTATTGTTGGCTTGCAAGGACGGTATCTACCTGACTGAGTTGAAACCTTGATATACACAGCTATACAACAGATAAGAAGAAGTGTGTGGGACAAATACTCGCATACGAAGATCAACCACGAAGCTGAGACTGCCCCGTCTAGCTCAGTGAGTTGGAAGCATATTTTAAAATTCAGCACTCAGAGCAATGTATTGACATCACCTCTCAGGTTGCTCACGGCTTCCTCAACCCATTGGCTGCGGCTCCACAAGGAGCTAAAGGTGGTCTTTATTTGTCAGAAGAGGATATGCGTGCTCAGCTGCTAAAGAGCCACCTTATGGCTGCAACATTGCCGGGTGGGATAGAGTTCTTTGTGTACAAGCGGTTTGAAGATGTGCTGATTCCAGCGATGACTACAACGCCTGTTCCCCGTTTCGTAGAGTGCCAGCGAAATGGAAAGAAAGTGTGACGGTGTTGATTCCGAAGGGAGGAGACCCAACTAGCGTACAGGATTGGCGACCCATCAATCTACAGGACTGCATATACAAACTCTACGAGCGCTGTGGGCCACTAGGACACCCGACTGTGCAATACAGTCGGGTGTCGCCTCCAAGTCGCAAAAGGGTTTCATGCCAGTGAACGGACATGAGCATCTCTCCCTTGCTCAAAGTATTCTCCACTCCACCAGCAGAGAAAAACGCCTTTGTATCGCTCATACACACTGCCCTACAGGCTCAGCGACTTCCGAAGCGCATTCGGGAGGTCATCATGGATCTCTATCAAGGAGCGAGCTTCTGCATATCTAGGAAAGAGGGCTGCTCAGGCAGAATAGACAATAAGAGGGGAGTCAAGCAAGGGTGCCCTCTCAGCCCCATCCTTTTCAATCTTGCCATTGAGCCGCTACTGCAGCAGCTGGCAGCATGCAGGGAAGACCTAGGACTACGTAACAACCAATATGGGAGGCCTCCAGTCAAGGTCTCTCACATGGCGTACGCGGGTGACTTAAAGATTGTTGCCAACAGCCATGAGGGTCTCAACAGCCTTCATCAGGTGGTGAATAAATTCCTTAAATGGACAGCTTTAGAGGCAAATCCGTCCAAATGCGCTACAATGGGTTAAAAATTGAGCGGGACTCGGAAAACCCCAGATCCAGTTCAACTCAAGCTGCACAACGAGGTCTTGCCAGTGGTGAAGCTAGGGGAGGCGTATGAATACCTAGGACTAAAGGACTCACTGGAGAATTCAGTGCACCAAGGGCAAGTCCTTCGGGTCATGAGCAAAGCTAAGGAAGGCATTACCAAGCTCTTCAGGTCAGCGCTACTCCCCTTGCAGAAGTTTGATGCAGTGGGCGCTTTTGTGATATACAGGGTAACAGTGCCTGAGGTGACAGTCAAGCCTGGATATCACAAGTTACCCTTACAAGAAGCCCCTGGACCTGTTTGATCGTCATATCGGCGCCGTCCTGAAGAAGACGTTCAAGCTTTCAAAGAGCACGACGACAGAGATGTTTCACAAGCCCACCTTTAATGGATGGCTTGGGTGCATCTCGCTGCAGAGGATCGCAAAAACAACGCAGATAGGGTTTGCCATCCAAATGCACAACAGCAAGGACAGCATGATCTGAGCAGTGGCTGAAGGTAAAGTGCTAAAGGCCATCAAACAGTCGTTCGTTTACACAGCCATAAGAATGGAAGGGGAATTAGGTTGAAGCATAACAAAAACGTGTTACATCAGCGGCTTCTGCAGCTCATGCAGTGCTGGCACTGATGCCTTCAACCTTACAACATTATCATGCAGTAGCTGACATCATTCCTTCAATCATTGCAAAAACGAACGTGAATTCTTAAGCATACCGATTCCGAGTACTAGCGCCAAATTGACAACATTGCTCACGTTGAAAACCTCTCTTGCTTACAGCATGTATGCTTCTAACGTGAATGGTGCGAAACCCCTATTTAGAGTTCAGCATGCTTTCGCAGTTCGCAAAAACGGTATGCCTCAAGTTTGGTGTTTTGCCAGCCGTTGACACGCCCTCGCTCCATTGGAGATGCCGCAGCGCACTCCGTTGCATGATTGCTGCTGCGAAGGAATATTCCCAGAACATATGATTTGCACACGCGTTTATAACGAAGTGTTTCAACCCGACATGGCTTCATACAGTCTCTGCCCCACCTCGGTGACATTGTGGGCAATAAGCGGACAAGTACTGCGCAAGAAGGCTAGTCTTGCTTGCAGGCTTGAAGTTGCCGTGAGTTTCAATTCTGAATTGTTGAAAAGAACTGAACTTCATTCTTCCTTGGAAGCCAACTCTCCTTCGGGTGCTTGGTTGATTACCAACCGTCACTCCTGGAGAAGGACGACGCAGCATACAGAAATTGGCGACCGCTATAACAGTCACCACCTACGGAACAGTTGCAGCAATTAGAAATAGGCGTGATAAATCTGCCACTTTTATAAGCTACATGTACATAGATGCCTCTCCCTATAATTCGGCCCAGCTCGCTGCCGCCGTACTGCACGGCAATTAGTGCAGCTTGCGAATAAACATTGAATGTCGTGGTAGCGCAACCTGAATGGATGCCACTTAGAGAGTTTAGTAAACAAGTTGAGTTCTCGTTTTTCATGTCAACGATTCCAAACAATGTCGCAAAATTTAGAGCAAAGGACCCCGTTAGCTTCGCGCACCATAAGCAAGCGCGGGCTGCAGCACCCCGTTGCCGCTGTGGGTGCTTCAGACACATAAACTGAGCTGTCTATTGTACCGGCTGGCTGTACTGAACGAATACAAATCACTACGCTCTTTTACAATATTTGCATGCATCGTGTCAAGTTTTACTGGTTTCAAAGCTTGAGTGTGCCTTCTCCATATTTGTTCTCATTCCCAAATATGTGCCCCTTAAGCCTGCTCGTTTTCGTCTCTACACTATATATTGGAATGGCAATGGGCGGCCCACATGGACCGGAAGGCGAATTGATTTCCCAGAATAAACATTTAGCCAGTGAAAATCCTGTTCATGCCGTCTCTACCTCTATGCGAAGGATGCGGCGCGAAAATCCGTGTTTCACTTCACTCTCTACCATGGCGGTAGCTTTTATTATGGGCTTCCTCATCACCCGCTGTTTCATCGCCATGTCATCCAGTAAAAAGCAAGAACGCGAAATTCACTCACGAAGGCTTGCATCAGGCGCCGACAATATCTGTTCTGTAAGTATTCAGCAGGAGGATAATGGCGCGCACGAAAAAGAGTCCTGTGTGCTCGGTTGTTCTGCTGCTGGTTGTTAGACTGGAAGGACCTCTGAAAAGGAATCACACATTGAGTTTGACTGCATGTGTTTTACTTAGTTGGTCACATGGCCAAAGGGGGTGACAGTGAATTCCTTCGTGCAATGCCTAAACATAGCCCTTACCACTGGAATCCCAGCAGATTTTTCCTGTAAGCTAATGCATGGTGATACCCATGGCCATTGGCCACTTTCGGATGCCTTCGTCTTGATGCTTGTTCTTCGGTTGACCACATCGAGGGTCCGTCCATGTACTGCCTTCGTATCGCAGTTACTTGAACGCGCATGGCCCACTGCGGTACCAATGTGCCTATGCTGAGGACTATGGCATCAGGAGACGGGACCACCATATTATATGACTACACACGTATTCGTGACTATTGTGTGTTAAAATACTACTACAGCAGGATTGATGGACCATGCGGGATTTCACGGGTGAGCCCCCCATGAATGAGAGTCGTGGTGTTTGCAAAAGAACACTTCGGCAAAAGTATCTTTGCACACCTACAATTAAGAACTACACCATGGTGAAAGAGTATATATCGGGCCTTTGACAGCCAGCCATACATGCTGGGCGAAAAGGCGGCGTTGCCAAACTTCACCAAGGAAGGCGAGACGCTTCCACTTGCTGGCTTTCTGGCATCCGGGTAGCGTTGGGAGGTTAGCTTGTAGGCATCATAATACAAAGTATCCTCATGATCTCGCAGGACGAAAAGGCGCCTGAGGCTTTGGATTACAGATAGTCTCGTCAGAAAGGTTCTTTTGGGGGCCGAATGCATTCTCAGACGTACTTCATGAACGTTTTGTCAATATGTACCACTTTGCGGGGTTTACCTCCACCCAGTTGGGATTGAAGAGGATGCGGTGTAGAGGACGGGGTGATTTCGCGTGGGTGCTTCGACGTGTGCCAAAACGGTTTGCGTGCGCGGAAGCTGGAAGGCGGAGTGCGATTGTTGGGTTTACAGAGGCTTGACAGGGCTGCATTGGCAGTTCGGGGTGAAAAGCCATTTCCACTGCCGTTTACAGCAGGCGCATGCGGGTGGTTGGATTTGTTGCAGATGCCGTTTTCTTGGCGCTGTCTACCTGGAGTTTGACCAGGTCGGGCTGGACTAGGACATGGGTTGTGGAGTTTAGTGTGAACCAAGTATTCGCAGTTTAACGCACTCTGCCGAATGCCTGTATTCTCGTGCGGTCCCGCAGGATGTATGTTTGGACGGCGTCAGCACGGTTTCCCTGAAGTTTCGGAGAAAAGCGATATTCCTCTGTTTGCCAGAAATGCTTTGGAGCTGGTTTGGGGAGTTCTGGAAGTAGCCGCATAGCCGAACATAGGTACAATTGCCGTAGCGGTAACTTGCAGGAACAGTCACGGAAAATCGATTAGAAGTTCTGCAGCGGTATCTGTCAGAAGGTGGCTGGATATATCTGCCTTAAAGTGTTTGAGGCTGTCAACTGCACTGCGCGGGGATATTCAAAGAAGCGCTTGCTAATGGGAAGAATAGGATACGTGTTGGCAAGACTGGTGGAGTGCCTTTGTCAGTTGATGCATGCCTTGTTCAGGAGGGGTGAAGT